GATTTTAGTTCAGACCAAAGTCTAAAGAGAAAATCAGTGATTTTAGCTCGCAAAGGCAACTCTAAGTTTAAAGGTTTTTTTTTTTTTTTTACTTTTAAGCTAAGGACACAAACTGAACAAAGGATGCACCAGTGGGCCAGCGGTGTCGGTGGGTTAGGTTTGTGTGTGAGCGGCTTGTGTGTACGCAACCTAATGTGAAACCCAGGCTCAGTTTCCCTAGTGCAGACGTCTCTGCTGCAGCCTCGGTGTGAGTTTCATCTAAAACTGCTTCTGATTCCATCAGTGTGAGAGTAGCCGCTCAGCTCAGGTTTCACTCTCCTCTGTCATAACAACAGACTTGGAAACACTTGACACTGTTCCCTAAATAAAGCTGGAGGTTAGAAATAAAAAAAAAGCTGAAACCCTGAGCCTGGTGTAGAAACTAATATTAGATCAAAGCTTCAAGCGTATCTGATGAAGCCTGAAAGAGCGAGTGTAAACGTATTTTAAAAATACACTCACACATCAGCCAGGAATAACACACAGAGATAAATAACGGCCCTCCCCTGTGCGCGTGTGTGTGTGTGTGTTTACTCCGCAGCACAGCTACCGTGAGGTCGGAATTCTGCTGCTCTACCTGGCCGTTGGAGTCTCGGTCTTCTCTGGAATTGCCTACACTGCGGAGTACGAGGAGGTGAAGCTTTAACTCAGTCATTCAGGTCAAACCGATCTCTCTCCGCGACGGCACAGCACTTGGTGATCCAGTGCTGCCGCCATCATTAAGTTCTGAGGTGTTATTTTGCGACGTCACTGTGTTCGAAATCCGCAGTGATGCAAAAATGACCGAAGGAGGCAGCGGTGGACCAGCAACTTTTTGCGCGAGCTAAAAAAAATCACAGATTTTCTCTATGGACTTTGGTCTGTTTGTTGCTCTCTTCCAGGACGTGGGTCTGGACACCATTCCGGCCTGCTGGTGGTGGGGAACCGTCAGCATGACAACCGTGGGGTACGGTGATGTGGTTCCGGTGACGGTTGCGGGAAAACTGGCCGCCAGTGGCTGCATTCTCGGCGGCACCCTGGTGGTGGCGCTGCCCATCACCATTATCTTCAACAAGTTCTCACACTTTTATCGACGTCAGAAAGCGCTGGAGGCATCAGTGAGGAACGACAACTGCAGCAGGAGCAGGAAGCAGGAAGTGGAGGAAGAGGCGTCAGATGGTGACAGCTGCTTCCTGGACCACGATGACGAAGAAGAAGATGGTGACGATGTCATGGAGGAGGACGACGGAGGCGTGGTCAACTACAGCTATGTGAAACATCCGTCCTTCACTTCGCTGAAGATGAAGAAGGCGGAGCTATAGGGACCTTCAGATACCCGCAGTTTCCAGGGACTCATCGTGAACAACCGATGATCTTCCTTCCAATTCAATTCTCCAAAAACACTTCATACTCCAAAGAAACAGTTCCAACAACTAGGCACGTACCAGGGACAGTCCTACAACAGGCTCTTCACTACTGTTCGCACCTTATTCTGGAGGAAACTCGGCCGAGAACTGTGTGTGCTCTTCCCTTGAGAGAAAATATTAAATGAAAAAAGTACCGTGTATGTTCCTTCAGCAAGAACTAGAACCAGAAACTTATTTAAAAATTAGGATAAATACTACCTTGCAGATGTGCTGCAGAAAATAGAGCCAGTACCAGGAACCTGCTGAATGGGGTACTATGCATACCGTATGAGGAACTGTGTTCTCTTTCCCACTGGAACTATTACCATGGAATAGTACCAGAAACTTTTTCCTCTACCGGAAAAATTGGGGGAACTATTTAGACATATAATGCCTATGAACTATGAACAACGCTTCGACTGCATGAACTACTGACAAGACCAAGAAAAAGTACCAGGAACTATTTGCTCTTTTAGTGCTGCTACTGCGGGGGGGGGGGGGTTGGGGGGAGCATGAGGGTCTTCCAATGGAATATGGCACACTGGACATAAGTGTATCACTGCTGTAATGCTTGAGTATTGATAACAAGCCTCCAGTCCACTAGGTGGCAGCAACCCATACACAGATAACAAACTGTTGTTATCTGGAGGGGGGGTGAAAACATTTCTGTCCCCAAAGGAGGGGGGGGGGGAGGGAGCATGACAGATAAAAATTGAGAACCACTGTGCTAAGCTAATGGCTGCTGACTAGCTGATTATTGCATTGTGTGCATTAGCCAGTCTCTTACGAGGCTAGGCTAAACACAGTCTGCTGTCACCGTTTGCCTTGTACCTTCGTCTTCTGACTTCAGTTGTAGCTTTGCATCTTAGAAATTGTGTTACAGACACCTACTGCGTTTTGGAAAGGACTGTTGGGTTTTTATATCCAGGACTTTGTTGTTCAGTTTTAACACAAAGCAAATAGCAAACTAGTCACGATACAACAACAATAGAACAACAAAATGTGTTCTATTGTTTATCTGTTTTAAGGAAAGACTTCCTCCTGTACTTCAGTCAGACTGGTTTTTTTTAATCTGTTTTCAGGTTTGAACTGTTTTTTTATGCATATGTCAACTTGAAGACTGTTACCAGATTGTGAAAAAAAGTGTAAAAAATTCAAAATTACAACAAAGGAAAAGGTAAAGTTGGCGTTGGTATATTTTGTAGCAACACTAGTTGAAAATGCTACAAGTTAGCTTATAGCTTGGTTTAAATTAGCGCAAAAAAGCTAAGAAAGATTTGTGCAAATATATCTGACCAAATAACAACATGAAAAAGTATGAAAAATATACTCTATCAGAAATTCCCAAGAGAAAATATAACAACATGAAAAAGTATGAAAAATATATATCAGAAATTTCCAAAAGTCCAGAAATACACAAATGGGCAATGACACCCAAACAACTAAAATGCCAAAGCATGGCAAAATTGGCTAGGAAGACAGCGAAAGGTTAGCCTGAAAGGAGCTCCGACGAACACAAACACGTCAGATTTTGCAGTCTGGTAATTAAAAATTAATATCAGCTATTTTGGCTAAGGATCAAGGTCACTATGAAGACAATCCAGGAACAATCCGAGTCTGGAAGAAATAACATGAATAAATAAATCGTCCAAGGTTGTTGATTGTCAGTGGACGCAGCAGCAGGAAGAGAATTTCAGAAACGTGATCATCATCAGACACTTTAGACGCTTTAGGCTCTGAGCCACAACAAAAACATCAAACAGATTAATGTGATAAATAATCTAAACCAAATCTCGTGGTGGAGGAAATCTGTGATTTTACCTTGCTTACCTGTTTGCTATTTTCAGTGTTTAGGGTTATTCGGGTATTCAGTAACACAACCAGACTTTTCTCTATGGAGTCTTAAAATCATTCATTTGGCGTGAGCTAAAATTACTGAATTTCTCTATGGACTTTGGTCTGAGCTAAAATCACTGAATGTCTCTATGGACTTTGGTCTGAGCTAAAATCACTGAATGTCTCTATGGACTTTGGTCTAGAGTTAAAATCACTGATTTTCTCTATGGACTTTGGTCTGAGTTAAAATCCCTGAATTTCTCTATGGACTTTGATTTGTGAGCTAAAATCTCTGATCTTCTCTATGGACTTTGGTCTGTGAGCTAAAATCACTGATTTTCTCTATGGACTTTGGTCTGTGAGCTAAAATCACTGATTTTCTCTATGGACTTTGGTCTGTGAGCTAAAATCACTGATTTTCTCTATGGACTTTGGTCTGTGAGCTAAAATCACTGATTTTCTCTATGGACTTTGGTCTGTGAGCTAAAATCACTGAATTTCTCTATGGACTTTGGTCTGTGAGCTAAAATCACTGATTTTCTCTATGGACTTTGGTCTAGAGCTAAAATCACTGATTTTCTCTATGGACTTTGGTCTAGAGCTAAAATCACTGATTTTCTCTATGGACTTTGGTCTGTGAGCTAAAATCACTGAATTTCTCTATGGACTTTGGTTTGTGAGCTAAAATCACTTATTTTCTCTATGGACCTTGGTGTGATCCTCTGTGAAAATATTTGCTCTCAAACACTGTGGTGAAACCAAACATTTGTTAAACACAAAGGTAAAATGTCCATTTTTTTTCTCTCTCCTGATCTTTATTTTCATTTTATGAATTTAACAAACCAAACCAAAGAATGAAATGAAACATAAAATGCATCAATTCACATTCCTAAAAACAGCAGGCACCAGAGACAGGACTTATCAAAAAAAAAAAAAAGTTTCAGCTCAGAAGAAACACAAGAACAAACAGCTTTGTGCGCACAGCAACCAAAATAAACAAAAATAACTGCTCTACAAAAGTGACCATGTAAAAAAAACAGTAGGACTAACGAGAACTGGCCCTGGTGTTTATGTTAAAACTAGGCTGAGTCAAACAACCTATGACCTGAGGAGGCGCCTCCTATTGGCTGCACACAAAACCGTTACATATTCAAGTACCATTACGGGAAAAAAAGAAACCAGATAAACTGTGTGAGTGGCTGCAAAAACGTCTCACCCAATTTACATCCAACTACGTGGGCTGCAGTCTAGCCCTTTGTGAAGCAGTCTTTATTCACTGTGGACCACAGGAAACAGGAAGTAAGAACAGGACTTGTGGGTAATTGGGTAATTGCTTGTGTACTTTTAAAATATATATCCAAAAAAATACAGCATTCCCTTATCTGTACAGGTTTATAAAAGATAATTTGATTGAACAAGGTAAAAAAAAAAGATACAAGTCTAAAACCTTGGAAAAAAAACTTAAATGTGAGAAAATCAGTGATTTTAGCTCAGACCAAAGTCCATAGAGAAAATCAGTGATTTTAGCTCACAGACCAAAGAACACAGAGATAATGTCAGCTAGCAAACAAAGTAGCTGCTGGTCCAATGCTGCCTCCTGTGTTCAGTTTGTGCCATTGAGGTAAATCCAATTTCAAAAAAGAATTTCAAACAGCGTAGTCACAAACACATTTGAACATTTGTAACGGAGGCAGCAATGGACCAACGATTCTCTAAGGCATGATTTAGTCATCGCTATATTTCTCTTGGACGTTAGAGCCTTTTATTTTTTTTTTACCTCATACAAATCAACTTCTTAAATCCTGAAATGTACCTTTATTGAGATGATTGATCAGATTAGGAATAATTCTCCGAAGCACCCATATTTACAGACCTGAGTTTTTTTTTTTTTTCTGACCTGAGAGACTCAGCTGCAGCAACAGCTCCTCTGTAGAACTGCAGAGGTGAACTTCACCTTGTGTGAAGCATCAAAGCAACTCAGAGGAGGAATGTAATGAAGGAAAGATATGAAGCAGTCAAACCGATTCAGTCCAGAATAGAAACTTTTCAACTTGTGAAGTGAAGCAAAGTCAAAACAACAGCAGCAAAGACTTGTCAAAGGGATCAAAAACCAGTAGCATCAGTTCTCCGCTGATCAGTACCAACGTACAAATAACACTTTTTCCCCACTCGTACCAGGAACTATAAATTGTACCATCAACCATAACATCCTTAGAAACAAGGAATAAATTAAACCATTAGACCTTTTCTACTTCAAAGCAGTTTCAGATTTTTCCTAGTCTCAAATTCAAGGTAACCAAGTCTTCTGGTCTTTATTCCAAGACTGTTTCTAGGTTAGACTCCAGACTAGTCTATCATCTCATCAGTCCAAAAACCCAGACCCCAGACCCCTTGTCTGGGGTCTTTAGTTCATAAATCCTAATGTCTGGTCCAGAATGATTAAGTCCTTTGATTTCCGATTTCAAATATCTAGGTCAGAAGTGCTTGCACCACAGGAACCAGAAGTTGTGTAACACCCAGTGATACCTGGAGGAATTGTGGAACTTTTGTTGGAACACAGACAGACACTTATACCAAGAAAAAAATGTGTTTCTTGAAACACGGATGTCACCTTAAGAGGTGCTGGAAACGTAGGCTGAAACGTTAAGACGGTGCGGGACAGTCCAGCAAACATCAGTGTTGAAGAATATTACTAGTAGAAGAGGAAAACTGAAACATTTAAAGACCTTTTTTTGTCTCGGAAATCCAGATTAAAAAAAAAAAAAAAAAAAAAACTGGGACTGACCAGAATCTGTTGAGCTCCCAACTAACCCTTTCTTTTTCAATAAACCGTTTCCTCTGAAACTTCCCCTGATCTGAAAAACCCCAGTCAGAGAACTGGTTACAAAATCTGCTCTGGAGCAGGATTACAAAAAAAAAATCCTCAAAAGTTCTGGATTTAAGGATCTCTAAGCAGCCCCTCAGAAGTTCTGCTGCTGCTGCTGTCGTTTCTTGGCCTCGATGGCATCCACGATGGGCTGCCTCTTGGCCTGGTACCTCTGGCGAATCTCCTCAATCTCCTGCTCCATCTGGGGGTCTAGAGAGGCCAGTCTGAGCCTTAGCTCCTCCACAGACCACGTGCTAATCTGCAAAAACAAAAAACACAACCAGCATTAGTGTGACGTTGAGCAACATTGTGTTTGTCCTCCAGCCTCTTGAGCAGGTTTGTTTCCTTGTCCTCAACTCTAGACTCTTGAAGTTTTCTCTGGTCTCTGGAACAGTTTTTCTAATGCTTTACTCCGGCAAATGCATTTTCTAGACCATGGTCTTCTTTAGTACTTTAATCTTCAGACTAGAATATACTAGAATGTCCCAGGTCTTTTGTTATCTGAGATTTTAGACCACACGTTGACATGCAATCCAGAACCAGAACTGGGGTCCACTAAGTGTCCACTAAGTGTCCACTAAGTGTCAACAGTACATATTTGTTATCATTGCGGGAACTGGAGAAAAATAATCTGGTTTTCAAAACCATAGATCTGGAGGAACAAGGACTAGGAAGAACGCCATCACCCTGAGGAGGAACAAGGACTAGGAAGAACGCCAAACAATCACGCTGGTACCTTGGTGGACCTTCAGTTACAGAAGCTCCCGATACAGTTTGTTAAAAATGAACAGGAAGTGACCTCACAGCTGCAGATAAAATCCACTCACCTTCACCGGTGTAGATTATATTCTGACCTGAAATCAATCGGTACCAGTGCATTTAAAAAAAAATCTTTAATGCGATGTAAAAATACCCCCGCGGTGTGACAGAGACTCTCAAAGGCTGCACTCATCAACGTGTCCGATCTGTGGAAAAGGTCTCGGATAGAAACCTGGTTCCTGTTCTTGAAGGTCCCTGGAGGTTCCACCTCCTCCTCCTCTCAGCTTTTACCAGCAGCTCTATTTATTACCCACCAATCAATGAAGCTAAAATAACAGCGGCGGCGTCCTGCTCCACTGGACAGACGTGGGGAAAAAAAAAGGGCAGGAGCAGGAGATGGTCTGACAGAGGGGCAACGCGACTCCAGGGGGGTCAGAGCAGAACTTCTGGGACTTTTTTTTTTTTTTAAGCGATCCGAATAAAGACTTCAGATCAGTTTATCAGTGATCGACTGAGTCTCCTGACCGCTAGAGATCAGATCCTGACACAGTTCTTCAAGATCTAACGGATCTGCAGCAGCTTCACTTTAAACTTCAACTGGATTTTTTTTTAAAAAAAAAACAAAAAAAAAAACAAAAAAAAAAAAAAAACAGTCCTATCTAGTACTGTGGCCCTCATTACCCGATTAAATGCTGACTTGGCATGAGCGTGATATTAATGCATATTTTTCCTGAGGATTTACAGGAGATGTGACCGAAGAAGCATCACTCAGACTGGACTTCATCCACACGATTTCACGAACAACCTGCTCGGCAAGTTTGGTGCCTCCAGGGGGCAGCAGCTCAGCCCTGGCTGGGGTGTATTCAGCAGCAGAATATTGTGTTGTTTGAGCCCGGTCGTCCCATGGACATCTTGTGGACACAAGACTTGTTCTTCCTGTTGTCAGCACCTGTTGACCACTTCACTCTTCCCTGACTTCTTGTTTGACCAACTCACCATGAAGACTTTTCATAACTGACTCTGAACAACTAGGAATCCAGAAAAAAAAGAATCTGGTTTCAGTTTCAGATGACATTGGATCCAGAGGTTTAAAAAAAAGCAGCAAACTGAACTTCCATTTTCAGAGTCAAACAGCTGTGAAATAAACCCTAATCTCTAGTCTAATCCCAGTTAATTAGTTGTCATGTGATTCATCCTGGGTCAGTGACATTTTTATTTCTCAGCGATGAACCAACAATTAAGTCACGCATCACGCGGCCTAATTAACGCTAATTGAAACGGAGCAGACTAACTCAACGCGTTGCTTACTCTCGGCGATTAAACTTTCATTTTAATTGCACAGTTGTAACCTGAGTTATGTTGAGACCAATTAAATTTCATTTAAGGTTGTTAATTACTTTAATTGGCTGCCTGAGAACAGAGGCTCGGTGATGAGCGACGGTGTGTGTCTGTGTTTTCTCTACGTGTGTGTTTCTGCTCACACACACACACACACACAGCTCCAATAAAGGCTGAGCTCCGGCTCAGGGATCCAGCCCAGAACCTTCTCCCCTAATAAGACCAGAAGGATGCCAATTATGAGGCCTTTGCTGTGGACTCAACTCCCAGACCGGCCCTTTAAATTGGATGCTTGAGTTACCAGCAGACCTGCATACTAGAGTTATCACAGAGAGGGGAGGGGGAGGGAGGGGGGGGGGGGGGGGGGGGGGGGGGGGAGAGAGAGAGAGAGAGAGAGAGAGAGGGGAAAGAAAGCGTTCCTCCTTCTTCTCACCACCTCCAGATCTCCATCAGCAGGCAACCTCCTGTTGAGGGCGTTGTTGTCTCCTCCTCCTCCTCCTCCTCCTCCTCCTCCCTCATCATTCCGACTGTTGGCCTCCTTCTCCTTCTGTTCGAAGTACTCCAGGAAAGACGGTTTGGCGGGCTGCATGGTCTCATCTCGTCCTATGGAGACAACAGAGCAGCAGCAGTGATGAACCAAACATCTCACCTCAGCTCAGCTCAGCTGAGTCCACCACATCCTGTTCTGTAACCGCTTAAACAAAACTAGCTACAACTGAAGACGGCACCGGGAACTCGGCGCTATCTGGCGCTATTTCACGAAGTGAAACGCTGAATTGAAGCGCCGTGCTTATGGGATTGGTTAATTAATTCATTAATTAACTTCATATTAGAGGATTAATACGTACTGCGTGTACAGAGAGACAAACATGGGACACGTCAGAGGTCGCAGGTTAAAACCATACTCTAAAAAAAAAAAAAAGGACTGTTTCACATTGTCGATGTTGTTGAAGTCTGAGCAAGGAGTCAGGAAGTAATTCTGAGCTGCTGCAACTGAGTCAGGAAGTAATTCTGAGCTGCTGCTGCTGCTGCAACTACTGATGCTAATGCCGCTACAACAACTGATGCTAATGTTGCTGCTGCTGCAACTACTGATGCTAATGCCGCTACAACAACTGATGCTAATGTTGCTGCTGCAACTACTTAGGCCAATGCTGCTTCGAACTTTCCTTTTCCTGATGGACTTGAATGAATTATTCACAGCAGCTCTCTCTCTCTCTCTCTCTCTCTCTCTCTCTCGGAACCCTCCCAGACATCACTTCTTATTTTCAAAGGCACAAAGTCAATCTTCTCAGAGACGGTGCTCAAGTCAGCGGAAATCTGCTCACCGGTCCCTAACTCTGTCCCCAACACTCCTCTGTGTTCCTCTGTGTCTTTATTATTCAGTTATGTATTTACTTGAACTTCCAGCTAACGCTAACTTCTAGCTAACGTCCCAGACTAACTATGTATTAACATGGGGGTTGTCTGAGCTGCACAGACTTAATTAAGGACAGTCCACAGAGTTCAAGAAGCAGCTCAGTACCACACTGACATCGAAGTCTGACGCTGGTTCTTCAGAGGTTTGGTTCTAAGCAACAGGATCTGAAGTACCCGCAGCAGAACGTTAACGTCCAGCCTCAGATTTAAAGCTCTCCTGTGCGACTGGACGTGATGGCACAGCAGCTTTATTAAAGCTGTGAATCAAACCCAGCTCTCAGTGGTTTGTCGCTCCCACTGGGCCATATTCAGGACACAGACTTGTCCAATAAAGCTCCAGCTACACCCACCCACTGCTCCCCCTGGTGGGTGTTCATGTCCACTTTCTTTGTGGTTTTAATTTGTTTCTTCTTTGTTTTTTGTTTTTTTTAACTAATCCCAGACAACTACTCTCCGGCCAACTCAGCAAAGACAGAGAAGTTCCCCTCTCAGTAGACTGTAGCTCATTAATCGCTCAAACAATGAGGAGGTGCTGGGAAAGATTCGGATCCTCAGACTAACCGCGCCCTCTGCTGGCGCTCACCGATACTGCATAGGTTGACTTATCATTTCAGCACATAATTTGTCAGAAGATATTCTAATCAAAAACTTTTAGGACCGAGAAAACCCTGGACCCAAGACCCAAAGGACCTTGACTAAATATTCAAAGAAATGATCTTTCGATCTTGTTTTATTCCTTTGCCGGTTTTTGTCTTCGTCTTTTGATTTTCCTCAACTGCCCGAGCAGATTTGGTCAGGACTTTGAGATGGAAAGAGAAGAGAAGAGAATGGAGAAACTTACTCTTCATGGTTCCATCCTCCTCCTGGTCCTCCTCATCAGAGTTAATGACCATCGTCCCAAGCTGAGACTGCATGGTTCCGGTGTCCTCGGGTCCGATCATGGTGCGAGCTGTTCCACTCAGTGAGCCCGTTACCAGGATGGTTCCAGAGTCTCCTGTCCCGGCCCTCACCATTGTTCCCTGGTCCACTTCGTCTTCGTCCTGACAGAGGAGGGGCAGGGGGGGAGAAGCACTCAGAGGTTAAGGTTCCATTAGGAGAACACACAGGTTCTCGATTGAGAATGGCCACGTCTGTACCGAGTTGTCCTCGTCATCGTCTGCGTCCTGTTCCCGTTGCTCTGCCTCCTCCTGTCTCTTCAATTTGATCTCCATGGCGTCTGTGATCAACGATCGGAGGATGGAGCTGGGTTTGGCTGATTTGATGAATGGATGCTACAAACAAGAAGGAAACATGTCCTACAACTATTACTTCTTTTTGTGCTGTTTAAGACGATGCGTAGACATTTATCGTGCTAATTTATTTAGCTCAACAATTAGTCTTGTTTAAGACGATGCGTAGACATTTATCATGCTAATTTTATTTTTGCTAGGCTAACTGCTAACGGGTAGTTTTAGCTATTATTAAAAGATAAATAATAAAAGCTATTAGCAATATTTTGGACAAAATCAAAATCATGTTTAAATCATTGGTTTAACCGTTTGACTCGCAAACGTTGTACCTGTAACAGCTGTGTGGCAGTCGCTCTTTTTTCTGGGTTTTTCACCAAACACTGTTCCACAAAGTCCCGGAACGCCGGGGACCATAGATTGGGATTTCGAAATGTGGGTGGAGGGTTTGTGGGAATCATGAAGATGGCCTGCAAGGAAGAGATAGTTCAGTGAAAACCCCGACGGTAAACCACACTCTGGTGCTAAACAAACTTCCCGTCTTTAAACGGACCCTCATTGGATGAATGTCTGCGTAGGGGGGCTTGCCCTCGGCCATCTCAATAGCCGTAATTCCCAGAGACCAAATATCAGCCACGCAGTTGTATCCAATCTCTTGGATGACCTCTGGAGCCATCCAGAACGGTGTTCCAATCACTGTGTTTCTCTTGGCCATGGTGTCCTGGACAACAAGGAGCAGGACAGGTCTCATTGTTTCTTCTGTTCTGACAAAACAAAATGGTTCCTGGTTCCTCCAGTCCAGTTCCGCTGCTCTACATGTTTGACCTTCTGCTGCCCTGTCTGCAAAGCTTCTTACCGTTAGCTGTCCCGCGACACCGAAGTCGGCCAGTTTGGCCTGACCCTCAGCGTTCAACAAGATATTTCCCGCTTTGATGTCTCTGTGGATTTTTCTCATGAAGTGAAGATACTCCAGACCCTTCAGGGTGGATTGTACGATGGCGGCGATCTCCTCCTCTGTCAGCTACACGACACCAACAGACACATCAGCACAGAAACCACAACGGCCACGACTGACACATTTTTAATGATAATAATGCTGTTAGAGGCCGGGGCTCTTAAACCTCACTCTGTCACACCAAAGTCCATAGAGAAAATCAGTGATTTTAGCTCAGACCAAAGTCCATGGAGAAAATCAGTGATTTTAGCTCAGACCAAGGTCTATAGAGAAAATCAGTGATTTTAGCTCAGACCAAGGTCTATAGAGAAAATCAGTGATTTTAGTTCAGACCAGAGTCCATAGAGAAAATCAGTGATTTTAGCTCACAGACCAAAGACCATAGAGAAAATCAGTGATTTTAGCTCAGACCAAAGTCCATGGAGAAAATCAGTGATTTTAGCTCAGACCAAGGTCTATAGAGAAAATCAGTGATTTTAGTTCAGACCAGAGTCCATAGAGAAAATCAGTGATTTTAGAACAGACCAAAGTCCATAGAGAAAATCAGTGATTTTTAGATCAGACCAAAGTCCATAGGGAAAATCAGTGATTTTAGCTGAGACTGAAGTCTCTAGATAAATCCACTGTTATTCTCAATGGACTTTGGTTTGGAAGAATGAGGTTGTTACAAAGGTTTGTTGGACAGTAACATAGAGAACAAAATTTGATTCCTATTTTAGATTCAATTAAATACCTAAACAGATGAAGGTATTTTAAAATGGACAGAAATAACCTTGTATTTTAAGTGATTTTGTATATAATTAGTCAACTTTATTCCAGTGTCATTTTATAGTTTTACTCTCTTCTGGTATGACTGCAAACGGTAATCAGCGCAAACCAAAGCTCTGTGTGTCTGTGTGTGTGTGAGTGTCACATTACCGTCTTGTTGCGTATCCTGATGATGTCAGACACCGATCCGGCTCCACAGTATTCCATGACAATCCACAGGTCGCTGTTTTTGAAGTAGCTGCCGTAGTACCTGACCACATGAGGACTGAAGACCGGAGGAGACATTAATTATCAAAAGCACACACACAGACACTATGGACCGGAGGAGACATTAATTATCAAAAGCGCACACAGACACTGTGTCTGACTACTTTGACATTGTTGTGAACACGACCTGTTACACTGCTGCATGATGGAGATCTCCTTGATGATCTCCTGAAGATCTGACTCCACAGGAACCTGTTTGATTGCTACAATCTCTCCCGTCTCTTTGTAGTTTGCCTTAAAAACGCTGCCATAGGATCTGTGACACGCAAAGACATACGGATGAAAAATAAGACTTTACAGTAGCTCTCTGACCTGCTTCAGATGTCTGTAAACCACTCGACCTCCAAAACACCAAAGTGCATAGATAAATTCGGTGATTTTGTCACCGAGATATCTGTGAACAGAGGATTTTAAACAGTGAAGTCACAAAATAGCATCAGAACTCAGTGATGGAGGTCCTGGTCAAATTAAATCACTGCTTTTCTCTACCAGGTTTGGTGTGGAGGTGGTTTACAGACTTCTGTCAAAATAGTGAAGTGGAGAACCAGAAGCAGACGATGATGTAGATTTTATGACCTCTCTTTTTGTCAAGTACATAAACAATAAAACATATACAAAAACATATGTATATATATTTAAATGCAAATAATAATTAAACACTCTGTAAAACAGTACAAAGTTTTGATTTTATTTTTTTTTTAATTCTTGTGTTGCCCCTTGGAGGCACCAAGTACGTGGTTCCCTTAGGAATCAAACCCAGGACGCTCTGCTTGAAAGGCAGACGTGCTAACCGCTACACTATGGGACAACCGAGACATGGGCATACACACACACAAAAGTACAGGCGTACACACACACACACAAACACAATTACAGCATCACTCATTCTCTCTCGGAACAGGAAGTTAGTTGAGTTCCTGTTCATGAGCAGAGAGGGACGTAGCTTATCACTGACCGACCATCGTAGCTTATCACTGACCGATTTATTCAGAGAGACCACAGTCAGTAATGATGGCACAAACAGAACGACCAAGAA